GTGCGGAGCCTGGGGGTGCGGGGTCTGGGGGTGCGGAGCCTGCGGGTGCTGAGTCTGGAGGTGCTGAGCCTGGGGGTGCTGAGCCTGGGAGTGCTACGTCTGAGAGTACTGAGCCTGAGCGTGCTGCACCTGGGGGAGGCCTCTCCTCGCAGCAGCTGCGTGAGTGGTACTTACAGTACTGCAGCCTCAGGAGAGGTGCTTCTGGAGCTCGGAGTGGTGCCGGAGCTGGTGCTAGTGCTTCCCCTCCTAGGCGGGAGCTGCCCTCTCCCCAGCAGCTCCGAGAGTGGTACGCTAGGCGCTGCAGTCTCCGGAGTGGCGCTCCCGGTGTCGTGGACTCTGGAGCTTCTGGAGTTACTGGAGGTGCTGCTGCTGCTGGCGGTGCGGCTGGCGCTGCTAGAGGTGCTACTGGTGCTGCTGGAGCTGCTGGAGGTACTGCTGCTGCTGGAGGTGCTGCTGGCGCTGCTGGAGGTACTACTGGTTCTAGTGCTGCTGGAGCTGCTGGAGGTGCTGCTGCTGCTGGCGGTGCGGCTGGCGCTGCTGGAGGTGCTGCTGGTGCTGCTGGCGCTGCTGGAGGTGCTACTGGTGCTGGAGCTACTGGAGCTGCTGGTGGTACTGCTGCTGCTGGCGGTGCTGCTGGCGCTGCTGGAGGTGCTGCTGATACTGGTGCTGCTGGAGCTGCTGGAGGTGCTGCTGCTGCTGGTGGTGCTGCTGGCACTGCTGGAGGTGCTGCTGGTACTGGAGCTGCTGGGGACCCTGCTGCTGCTGGCGGTGCTGCTGGAGCTGCTGGGACTGGCCCTGCTGAGGGGGTTGGAGCTGGAGGTGCTGAGCGGCCACGGCCGTACTACGTTCCGCTCCTTCAGCAGGTTCTTGGCCTTCCGCCCTCTCCTGGTCCTACTCCTCCCCTACTGAGTCCACCGCTTGTCCAGTCGCAGTCACAGTTACAGCCAGTCTCTCCGCTTCCTGGTCCTTCTCCCTACACTGCGCCGACGGGAGGTCTTACGGAGCGTCGTGAGCCTGCGTCTCGTCCTCCGTCGCCTGAGACTCGTCCAGAGTCGTCTGAGTCGCGTCCAGAGTCGTCTGTCCGCGCTGTCCGCGCTGGTCGTCGTGTTCCACGTCAGCGTCCTCCTCCTGTCCTTGGCACTCACTATATGACCCTGCGTCCCTCTACTGATCCACAGCGTGTCCCACTGCCGTCTCCACCAGCGTCCTCTCTTCCTGCTCTTGCTGACCCGGAGTCTGACTCTCTTCGTGCTGCCAGTCCTACTGTCACGCGTCTCCTTGCCACTGCTGTCACTGACCCTTCCTTTGAGTCCTCTGCTGCGTCTGCTCTAGTCGCTGAGCTTGTTGACTTTGCTGCTGCCTGTCGTCTAGACTACGCCGCTAGCCTTGTTGCTGAGTCTGAGTCTGAGTCTGTCTGTCCTCCGTCTGTCGGGGGTGAGTGTGCTCTTGGCACGGACGTCCTTGAGGACAGACAGGAGGAGTTTGAGTGCTTTGCCGCTGCTTTGCCTCATCTCGTGTCCATGCTAGTTGCCCCTGAGGGAGACCCGGATGCACCAGACATCCCGACCCCACGCTCCTACGCAGAGGCGATGGAGGGTCCCTACTCCTCTCAGTGGCAGACAGCCATGGACGCAGAGATGGCTTCCTGGAAGTCCACAGGCACCTACGTCGACGAGGTTCCCCCACCTGGGGCGAACATCGTCAGTGGCATGTGGATTTTCAGGGTGAAGCGGCCGCCGGGTTCTCCGCCTGTCTTCAAGGCGCGTTACGTTGCACGAGGCTTCAGTCAGCGAGAGGGAGTTGACTTCTTCCAGACCTTCTCCCCGACCCCGAAGATGACCACTCTTCGGGTTCTGCTGCACGTCGCTGCTCAGCGTGACTACGAGCTCCACTCTCTTGACTTCAGCACTGCGTTCTTACAGGGCAGCCTGCACGAGGAGATCTGGCTGCGCCGCCCACCTGGCTTCACTGGGTCGTTCCCTCCTGGTACCCAGTGGAGCCTCCGGCGGCCAGTCTACGGTCTCCGCCAGGCACCCCGTGAGTGGCACGACACACTGAGGACTACTCTTGCTGCTCTTGGGTTTGCTCCTTCTACTGCTGACCCGTCGCTGTTCCTACGCACCGACACCACTCTGCCGCCGTTCTACGTTCTTGTTTACGTAGACGACTTGGTCTTTGCTACTGCTGACACTGAGGCACTCGCCCACGTGAAGTCGGAGCTGCAGAAGAGACACACGTGCACAGACCTGGGTGAGCTGACAAGCTATCTTGGCTTGCGGATCACCCGGGACAGAGCACAGCGCACCATCACCCTGACTCAGTCACACATGGTGCAGCAGGTCCTTCAGCGCTTCCGCTTCACGTACTCCTCGCCTCAGCCCACTCCTCTGCCTACCGGTCACTCGCTCTCAGCTCTGCCTTCGGATGAGTCCGTAGAGCCGAGTGGCCCATATCCAGAGCTTGTGGGCTGCCTCATGTACCTGATGACCTGCACTCGACCTGACCTGGCATACCCTCTTAGCATCCTAGCACGCTATGTCGCTCCCGGCCGTCACCGGAAGGAGCACATGGATGCCGCTAAGAGGGTGTTGCGCTACTTGTGCAGTACGTCGGGCATGGGGCTCGTGCTTGGAGGTCGGAGCGACGTTGTCCTCACGGGTCACTCAGACGCTTCTTGGGCTGACGACCAGGCTACGCAGCGGTCGTCTCAGGGTTACACCTTCAGCCTTGGCTCTGGTTCAGTTTCTTGGCGTTCTACTCGCTCTTCTTCTCTTCTCAGCTCCAGTTGTGAGGCTGAGATCTACGCCACAGCCATGGCTGCACAGGAGTTACGCTGGCTCACCTACCTGCTGACCGACCTGGGAGAGCGGCCTCGTTCTCCTCCAGTGCTGTACGTTGACAACAAGGCCGCCATTGCCTTGTGTGTGGAGCACAGACTGGAGCACAGGACGAAGCACATCGCTCTGCGCTACTTCCTTGCTCGAGAGCTGCAGCAGCGTGGTCAGCTTCGTCTGCGTTACGTGGCCACTCGAGCCAACACTGCTGATGTGTTCACCAAGGCGCTTCAGCCTTGTAACCATCAGCGTTTCTGTACTGTTCTAGGCCTTGTGCCTACTCTCCCTCACTTGCTCACTTCTTGACTCTGCTTGTACTGTGATCTCTATATATATATACCTGCATGTTTACTCTTGTTAGGTTGTGATCACTGTACCTCTTGTTATATTATCAAACTGCATGTGAACTGGTCTTGTGACCACTTGCTTGTGCTCGGAATTTGTGTGGTTTCCTTGAGATCCACCCTGAGCTTGCTTTGCTTTGCTTTGACTGGTCTTGTGACCATCTGGTTGTCTCCCACTTAGCCTATGGGGGTGTGTCAAACATTATACATGTTCATATTGTGTAGGCTATAGTGGGTTTAGCCTTAGGGGGTACAACATTGCTAGGGTTTCCTACTTGTATCACCCTGCTGCCTAGTTTCACACATTCTCGTTCAGTTCTACATTCTAACAATGCGTAGTGAAACGTTTTTGAGCACTACGCGCAGACTCGTAAGATTTTTGAATGCCACGGTACAGTCTGACGTGAAACCGTCCAGATCAACCTGGAGTAAGGACGGGTGCTCTCCTCACCATTGTCGGTGTAGATCATGTGCGTGTTGGTTAATAGTTGGAACAATAAGTTTTTGGGGTGATTGCATGGTAGAGTTTGTCAGTCTAGTTCAGCTCAGTCGAGAAACCGCAAGTGTAGATAGTCTGGAGCTGGTTTATGGAAGGCTGAACACTGCGATCAAGGACGGGAAACCGTCCAGACCAACCGGGACCTCTCTTCACCATTGTCGATGTAGATTATGTGCGTGTTGGGTAAACGGTGGAACAATACGTTTTTTACGTGTTTGCATGGTAGAGATTGTCAGCGTAGTTAAGCTCGGTCGAGAAAACCGACCTGACAAATGCGTAGGAATCTTTTTGAACTTGCATCGGACTCACGGCAACTCTACGCGGTTTCGTCCACCATTGGGTTTTACTGTGCAGACAAATAGGTTTTTTTCAAATGGGACGGTAGATTGAGATTGTTTAGTATTTGAGAGGGTCCTCACCATCGCGTGCCTCGTTACAGAGCACTGTTTAAATCTGCAGGTGTGGGTTTTGTGGAGCTTCATTGAATATTCGGAGGGCCGCGACCATTTCTACATTTTCAGAGGTTAAGTGTTCAACAGCCCAAATCTAGGGGTTGACAATTTCATACTGAAAACGTTTGGTTATCGTTCAGTAGACCACATGCACTGGACAGAGCTTAGATGCGATGATCGTCAAATTTGTTCAACGGGGTACTGTACTTAGCAACGGTAGATGTATGGTACACATTTGATACTCATTATCCTGCAGATCAACCATTGCACTCTCTAACTACACATCACCCGTCCATCACTCATCCCCCTTCTCCCCCTTCTGCCTCGGCCCACGTCGCGTTGGCAGTATGGAAAGCGTTGCGCCCTGGTGGCGAGCCAGTCCCCTCGAAGCGAAGCCACACTGGCACCAGTAGACCGTGACCCTAGCTACCACCTTGGCGAGATTGGTCACTTCTACCTCGCCCTTCGGTCGATTTAGGATCTCGACAATCTTGCCCTCCAAGACAGGCGGCCATTCCTTCGTCAGCTCCTCGTCGTTGACGATGCAGCTCGCGACGGTCAAGGCGCCAGCTTTGTAGTCTTCTTCTGGAGTACCAATCGAGGCTCCCCATAAGGTGTACAGCGCTGATGCTACGCCAGCAGCGTACACTGCAGGAGGGACTCTGTCTGGGGCTGGTTCCACACCCGTGCAGCCAAGCAGCATTGCCAAGCCGATTCCTTCGCAGAGACCGGTCTGCAATTCTGCACCCTTTGCCAGATGCTCGTTCGTTTTCTTCAAGACGGCACCGAAACTGTTGGGAGGGCAGTATCAACAAGCAGCGTTTTGTGAGCACACCGTAAACCTCCAAAAATGCATTGCAACATACGTCACTCACTTCTCAATCCGGGAAATGTGCAGCTCGTTCAGAACGCTCCAAACACCTGTCGGCAGCTGCTTGGCAAGGTTCAGATGTGCCGACCACGCTTGGACATCCTCCTTATCCATGCCGTAGGCGAGCAGGTCCGCATCTGGAGTGTATGCCATCCAGCAGATGGCGATGCTGAAGTTACTATTCCGCTCGCTTTCAAAATTTCCCAGATTTCTCTTGCACCCTCCAACTGTCTGCTCGGAGCAGTACTTGCCTCCCACTGTTCCCGTCTTCCGCTTGAAAAACCCACCTGCTTTGTACGGCTTATCTTCCCCGAACACTTTACCGAGACCGTCTGCTACAACACAAACATTTCCTCTCTTGCCCTCTCCGATCCCGTCCCCATCACTAGCAATCGCTTCATCTGCACCTGTCTGCGACTCGCTCTGGTCCGCCTCCACATCCCTCCCCCTTTTCAACCCACGTGTACCCTCTGAATGTTCAGGCATTTGACGAAGCCTGTCTTCACCAGAGGTTTCCATTGCCGGCTTTCCAGCACCATGATCCTCCGGTTGCCGTTCCTGCATCAGTCGAAGTCGTGCAGCAGATAGTCGCGCCCTCTCCGACGCCAGAGCCCTCATACGCTCCGCAGCCCGAGTTCTCTCCTCCTCTTCCTTCGCTGCCAGACGCTTCTCTTCCGCTTCCATGTCTGCTAGTTGAACGACCAAATCCGCATTCTTCTTTTCACCAGAAGTCTCCTCCACCCTCTCTGCCTCCTTGCCGTCCGCGCTCCCGTGTTCTTTCTCTTCCACCTCGTCGTGTTCGCCTCCTCTTTCCATGATCTGCACGTCCTCTCTGACACCTTCTGCACCACCCTCCATACCCGCGTGCGCCAATGGTTCCCCCGTTACCACCTTCGCCCCCTCTCGCACCTTCCCTTTGCCCACACCTGTCTGTGGCTGTCCGATCTCACCACCTTTTTGTACTTCCTTATCTACCGCTTCAACATCCACCGAAACACCCATAGTCATACCATGGATGTTAGTATGCTGCAGGGGGGTGGAAGGGGCGGCATCTGGAATTGAAGGCGCCAACAAAACACCTGCGGCCGTTGCTGGAGGCGAATGCAGCATGCCAGCCCCCCCGATTTCCACCTCTCGCCCCGTGTTTCGCTTCCCGTGCACAGCGGCCATTATCTCTTCCTTCAGCGCCTTTGCAAACTGCCGTTGATGGTCTGTGGTATCAGCCACCTGCTTCTCTTCCGCCCGCATTATCAATTCTTCGACGTACTGCTCTATAAACGGCTTCAAGGACCGTTGAAGCGCCTCAACATCGACACCGACCATCTCACACCTCTCTCTCGACGCATCCGTATCCGCCGCGATCTCCGGCGGTCCACTCATTCGGTCGGCGTCAGGAAGCTTCTTCAAATTTTTTGCAGATGACTCTCCGCCATGTCTGCGCTGCTCGATCGGCCTTTCAACATTACTTCCAGCCATCGTCCGAGCCGCCGCATGCTCTCCCAACTTCACCTCTTGTGAAGTCCCTTCCGCCTGTCTGCGCCGCTGCACCCTTAGTCTTTCGGCCTCTTGTAGAGCACCCTTCATGAACCCACACTTAGCGTCGTTGCTGTGCATAGTCCCCGCCTCTGTGCTCTGCAAAGGATCTGACATACCCCCCTTGGTCAACACCGACACATTTGAAGGGCCCGACTGGGTATGGCGCGTCCTCGGCTTCCGCGTTAGCAACAACGTAGACGGTGCACGGACCCCTGTGTCGGCATGCGCCTCCGCGGCTTCCTCCTCTTCCTCGTCTTCCCCAGATCGCAAATCGCACGTAGAGTCTGAGTCCGCATCGTCGTCCAACTCTACCAGGTCGGCTACTTGCTTGTTCGCGGGGCCCCCGAAATGATCGCGGCATGTCGTTATCAGCCAGGCAAGTATTTCCTCCTTCGAGTATGTTCCTTTGCCAAGACCAGGAAATGGTCTCCCGCTCTGCACCGAAAGCACGAACTCCCAATTTTCCACCAGCTTCCCCCAGAAATACGACACCAGCAGACCGGACCCAACCTCTTGCCGCCCAACATGTGAAGTTATCTGTGATTAGAAAAAGCACAAGCACTGTGTTTAGTAGTGTATTCAGTATACATTGCAATTCCGCTGAAACCACAGTGTCAGAAGCTTACCGTGTTGCGCTCGAGTGTCAAGCTCGCCAGCCTGGTCCTCATCACGCGGAGCTCCGCATCCTCGGAAGTCAGCGCAGTGTCTTGGGGACAACGTTCTACAAGGAGTTGCTCCTTCAGCCATCTGAAACCACAACAGTTTCCCTCTCCTTCTGTCGTCGCGCGCCGTTGACCTCTTTTGCAGAAAGGTCGTCTGCAGACCGAACGTTAACCGGGTCTAGTGTTCTCCGCCCTTCAGCTTCTACGGCTTCCCGGCGTGGTAAGGTGGCTTGTTCTGCCGCAATCGCTACTACACCAGTCTCCACCTCGATCCTGTCTCCTGAGGTACCCCCATCTGTGAGTTCTCGCGCGTCGAAAGGCACCAGTGGTGTAGACCTAGTTACCGCCTCCGTAGGCCACGCACCAGCTTGCCTCGCCATCCGAATTCTCTCTACCAGGGAGGTGGCGATCTTGATTCCGTGTTGTGTTGTCTGTCCAGAGAGGGATGCTTCTATTGTCCTCGTAAAACGGGTTGGTGGTTCGGGTGCTTGTCGTGCAGATTCTCCCCGTTCCACAACTCCCTCCGAATCCTCCACCGTACGTTCTCACGGACCCTCTACATTGCAACTGTCGGTAGCTGTTCCCCCGAGATATGCCACGTGATCGCTTTGCAGCCCTAAGTCTGCCGTGTTATCTTGCTCGTCCTCCATTGCCAAACGCGCTAGCTCGTCCTCAAGTCGCTTTCGCTCAATCTCCATTTCCCTATGCCGTCGTTCCGCTTCTGCCCTCTCCCGTGCAGCATCCTCCTCAAGGCGTTTCCGCCTTGCCTCTGCCATCGAAAGTGCTGCCGCCCTCGCTGCTCGCCTCTGCGCTGCCACCCGTTCCTGTTCGACTCTTAGTCTCGCCTCTTCCGCCTCTCTAACAGCACACTGCGCCTCCTCGAGCGCTCTCTGCCACTCTGCATCCTCCTTGCGCCGCTGTTGCTCTGCAGCCTCACTAGTACGTTCTTCATTCGCCCTTTCTACATCCTTATCTGCCCGCCCCACACTGGTCACCGCCGTGTGCTCGCTACGTCCCATCTGCGCCTCTCTTCCAACCCTGGTGCGTTCCACTCCCGTCTCTGTACGTCCTTCCGACTCCAACATCTCCTGTCGGCCTGCAAACCCCCATCTCTCGACCATGTTCACGGCCGCCGCGAGCGCTGCATCTGGGGAGTTGTCACACGCGAAAGGTTGGGAGAAAAGCGGGGCAGTTGGCGGGTTGGGTTGTTCGACCGGAGCTTGGGCGACCTTTATCCTCCCAGACAGCTTCTCATCCACCGCTGCCAGGATGTCGGCTTTCATAGTCTCTAGCCTCTGGCAATTCTCCTCCATCGCAGATATGACGATCACAAGTGTCTCTTGGACGTTGGCGACAACAGCCCTCTTCATTGTCTCCATGTAGTCGTTCGGTAGAACGACCCTAAGCCTTCCTTCGAGCGCCGCTCGGCCCATTGCCGCGCATCTACACCCTCTTTCACATGCTCCTTCATCGAGCTCAATAGCGTCTCGTACTCCCGTGCAACTGCGCGCTGAACTGATTCGGCTACTCTGCGATGGAGCCCCTGGATCGACGTGTTGATTTCCGTGCGTGTCTGCGCTGCTCTCTGACGTTCGATGATTGCTATCGCCTTAGCCTCTCTGTATTCCCGCAGCATGTTTTCAGCGTCTTCGTTGTAGTCCTCTGTCCAGCGGGCAATGCGCGTACATGCAGATTGGAGCTAGCGGAGGTTGCCACTAATCCTAGCATTCTGTTGTGCGGAGCTGCTGGCCACGGCCTGCGCGACGAACGTTAGACGTCGGAGGACTTCTGCCACTCCGGCCACACCTCCACCAACTCCGGTTGTTCCCGCCTCTACAAACCCATCATCAGTCTCCTCTAATATGGCCGCTCCTTGCATGACGTTCTGCCGTACGAAGTTCTCGGCTTCCCCCCACTCTCGTTCTCTCTGCGTCGGAGCACTATCGCGGCCGGTGTTGCGAAACTGATCACTCGCATCACGCGTAGCCCTCGCCACTTCATCACCTGCCACCGCCTCCGCCATCCTCTCTTCCCGCTCCACCCGCATCCTCTCTGTTTGCAATCTTGCTCGTCGCGTGACCACCTGCTCGTCCCACCTACGGCGCATGTGCTCAACCTCTTGCATCGCTCTAGTTGCAGATGCCTCACGCTCCCGTTCAGCGTCTGCCAACCGTTGCTCATCCTCGGCGATTGCCCGTACTGTCGCATCATCCAAAGCCTGAGACGCACGAGATGTGATTCCCCCATTCCTTGCAGTTCCTGTCTCCGCGTTTACTCTTTGCACTTCGACCGCACTATCCCGTTCATTCTCCTCCCGTGCGCTCCGAGCGTCCTCCGCCAGTATCTGTTGCAAAGCTTCGGCCTCTACCCTCGCCATCTCTGCAGCATGTTGCCTTTCCCGCTCCCCCTCTGCTCTACAGCGTTCTCGTTGCGCCCTCAGCCGCTCGACAGCTTCTGCCAACTCCTGTTCATGTTCTATTCGCTCCCGCTCATCGGCAGCTCTCCTCCTCGCTGCCTCCTCGCGTCGTTGGCGAGACTCCAATTCATCCACCCATCTACGGCGCATCTCCTCAAGCTCAGCAGCTCTCATATCATCCCCTTGAGTTCTTCCTTGTTCCCCGCCCACTCTCTCATGCTCTGTCGATGTTGTAACACTCTCTACCCCCATTTCAAGATCTGCATTCTGCCGAGGGACCTCTGTCGTTCGGCGAGCCGCCGTCGTGGCAATGCGCGTTTCCTCCGCACTGGGTTGTATCGCCTCGGACTGAAGCCTGACCTCAGCACTCCGCAGATCCTCCTCCTCTCTACGTATAATCGCCTCTGCCTCACCCATGACCCTCTCTACCGCATGTCTACGCCGCTCTTCCTCCTCTCTGCGAGATAACAGGTCTGCCTCGTCCCTCATCCGCTCTGCAGCCGCAGCCCTCAGCCGATCATTCTCAACTCTCAAGAGCTCCTCTGCGACCATGGCCCTTTCTGCATCTTCCCTCACCCTCTCTGCCGCCTCTTTAGCACGCCGCGCCTCTTCCTCCGCCCTTGCACGCTGCCGTTCTGCTTCCGCTCTCCTTCGCTCCTCTGCGGCCTTCGCCTGAACCATCGCTGCTGCCTCTGTCCTGACCCTCTCCTCAGCCTCATCCCTCTGCCGTTCCTGCCCCGCTCTCCTTAGCTCCTGTACGGCCTCCTCTCTTGCACGCCGAGCCTCTTCCTCTCTACGAACCATTGCTGCTGCTTCCGCCCTCATCCTTCGTGCAGCCTCTGTCCTCTGACGTTCCTGCTCCTCTCTCAGGAGCTCCTCTGCCGCCGTCGCCCTATCTGCAGCCTCTCTTGCCAGGAGCGCCTCTTCCTCTCTGCGAACGATCGCTGCTGCCTCCGTCCTGACCCTCTCCTCAGCCTCTTCCCTCTGCCGTTCCTCTTCCGCTCTCCTTCGTTCCTCTACGACCTTCGCCTTATCTGCCTCCTCTGTTGCACGCCGCTTCTCTTCCTCTCTACGAACCATTTCAGCTGCTTCGGCCATCACCCTATCTGCAGCCTCTGCCCTCTGACGTTCCTGCCTCTCTCTCACGAGCTCCTCTGCGGCCCTCACCCTCTCTGCCGCCTCTCTAGCACGCAGCGCCTCTTCCTCTCTGCGAACGATCGCTGCTGCCTCCGTCCTGACCCTCTCCTCAGCCTCTTCCCTCTGCCGTTCCTCTTCCGCTCTCCTTCGTTCCTCTACGACCTTCGCCTTATCTGCCTCCTCCGTTGCACGCCGCTTCTCTTCCTCTCTACGAACCATTTCAGCTGCTTCGGCCCTCACCCTATCTGCAGCCTCTGCCCTCTGACGTTCCTGCCTCTCTCTCAGGAGCTCCTCTGCGGCCCTCACCCTCTCTGCCGCCTGTCTAGCACGCAGCGCCTCTTCCTCTCTGCGAACGATCACTGCTGCCTCCGTCCTGACCCTCTCCTCAGCCTCTTCTATCTGCCGTTCCTCTTCCGCTCTCCTTCGTTCCTCTACGACCTTCGCCTTATCTGCCTCCTCTCTTGCACGCCGCTCCTCTTCCTCTCTACGAACCATTTCAGCTGCTTCGGCCCTCACCCTATCTGCAGCCTCTGCCCTCTGCCGTTCCTGCCCCTCTCTCAGGAGCTCCTCTGCGGCCCTAGTCCTCTCTGCCGCATCTCTAGCTCGCAGCGCCTCTTCCTCTCTGCGAACGATCGCTGCTGCCTTCGTCCTGACCCTCTCCTCGGCCTCTTCCCTCTGCCGTTCCTCTTCCGCTCTCCTCCTTTCCTCTACGACCTTCGCCTTGTCTGCCTCCTCTCCTGCACGCCGCTTCTCTTCCTCTCTACGAACCACTTCAGCTGCTTCGGCCCTCACCCTATTTGCAGCCTCTGCCCTCAGACGTTCCTGCCTCTCTCTCACGAGCTCCTCTGCGGCCCTCACCCTCTCTGCCGCCTCTCTAGCACGCAGCGCCTCTTCCTCTCTGCGAACGATCGCTGCTGCCTCCGTCCTGACCCTCTCCTCAGCCTCTTCCCTCTGCCGTTCCTCTTCCGCTCTCCTTCGTTCCTCTACGACCTTCGCCTTATCTGCCTCCTCCGTTGCACACCGCTTCTCTTCCTCTCTACGAACCATTTCAGCTGCTTCGGCCCTCACCCTATCTGCAGCCTCTGCCCTCTGACGTTCCTGCCTCTCTCTCAGGAGCTCCTCTGCGGCCCTCACCCTCTCTGCCGCCTGTCTAGCACGCAGCGCCTCTTCCTCTCTACGAACGATCACTGCTGCCTCCGTCCTGACCCTCTCCTCAGCCTCTTCTCTCTGCCGTTCCTCTTCCGCTCTCCTTCGTTCCTCTACGACCTTCGCCTTATCTGCCTCCTCTCTTGCACGCCGCTCCTCTTCCTCTCTACGAACCATTTCAGCTGCTTCGGCCCTCACCCTATCTGCAGCCTCTGCCCTCTGCCGTTCCTGCCCCTCTCTCAGGAGCTCCTCTGCGGCCCTAGTCCTCTCTGCCGCATCTCTAGCTCGCAGCGCCTCTTCCTCTCTGCGAACGATCGCTGCTGCCTCCGTCCTGACCCTCTCCTCGGCCTCTTCCCTCTGCCGTTCCTCTTCCGCTCTCCTCCTTTCCTCTACGACCTTCGCCTTGTCTGCCTCCTCTCCTGCACGCCGCTTCTCTTCCTCTCTACGAAGCACTTCAGCTGCTTCGGCCCTCACCCTATTTGCAGCCTCTGCCCTCAGACGTTCCTGCCTCTCTCTCACGAGCTCCTCTGCGGCCCTCACCCTCTCTGCCGCCTCTCTAGCACGCAGCGCCTCTTCCTCTCTGCGAACGATCGCTGCTGCCTCCGTCCTGACCCTCTCCTCCGCCTCTCCCGCTCTCGTTCCCTCCACTACTGCTGTCGCCTTCTCTGCCTGCTCTATTGCACGCCGGGCATCTACTCCTATATGAACCATCGCAACTCCTTCCGTAGCTTCCCTATCTGCAGCCTCTGCCCTCTGCCGTTCCTGCTCCTCTCTCTTGCCCTCCTCTTTGTGAACCATCACCGCTTCCTCCAGCCTTAATCTCTCTGCAGCGGTCGCCCTATCTGCTTCCTCTCTCAGACGAGCTGCCTCATCCTCTATCCGCAATTTTGCCGATGCCTCGACCCTAGCTCTCTCTGCGGCCTGCGATCTCAGCATTTCCTCCGCAGCTCTCTTCCGCTCCTCTGCGGCATTTGCTCTTTCTGCTGCCAGTTGACGCCGCGCCTCCGGCCCGTAATCTCGCACCTTCCTCCAGCGCCAGTGTTTGTTTCTCTGCTGCCAGCGCCGGCATCTCAGCAACCTCAATTGCACGACGCGCCTCCTCCTCTTTACGTTTGTCCGCCTCTGCCTCCAACCTGGCCCTCTCTGCGTCATCAACCCCCCGCCGTTCCTCTTCCGTTCTTTTTCGCTCCTCTGCGGCTTTGGATCTTTCTGCCGCCTCGTGAGGTCGATGCATCTCCGCCTCCATGCGTACCATCGCCTCACCCTCACCCCTGGCCCTCTTCACGCACCCTGCACTCTGTCGGTCCTCCTCCATCCTCTTCTTCTCGTTTGCGGCCCTTGCCATATCCGCCTCCTTCCGCATACGTCGAGTTACCTCCTCTATTCATCTAAACTCCTCTGCCATTGATTTCGCCTTCTCTGCAGCCTCAGCCTTTGCTGCCTCAACCATTTCTCTGTCTGGCTCTCCTGGTCCTGGCCCAGAATCATGCTCGATGCCGCGCAACACCTCTGCGTTCCCGTTCACTACAGCGTCTATCTCTATCGTCACACTCTCTGGTAGCCCACCTCCATTCCCGCCCGAAGCCGGCTGTTGATTTGCACTACCATGCTGAGACGTTGTTCCTCTGCGGGTGTACACAAATGTCGATGACGCCGCCTCTACGGTTGTTCGCACTCTCTCATTGTCGTTCTCGGACTGAGGATCCGGCCAATCAATTTCTACACCCTCTGCTTGCTCTTCCATTGGTAGACGACCCTCACTCGCATTGCCTCCGTCCGGAACTTCCATAGCAGCTTCACCGTCTGTACCATCCCCCTGGCCCACTAGCGTCGCGTCCTCGTGGTCTTCGATGCGCACAGTGAATAACTTGTCACACTCACCCACAACCAAATCCTTAACAATTTCTTTTGTGCGGGAGCCTTTGCCGAGTGTAACAAACGGGTCGTCCCACTGCAGCTGTAGAATTTCATCCCATTTTTCAAGCACCTTAGTCAAATCTTTGACCCTTGAAGGCCCGAGCCTGGTTGTGCCCATCCGAGATTCTTCGTCATCTGCAAGCACGGAGAACAATGTATTTGAGTTAGCGGGGTGTAACCCAAAACACAGTTGGACGCACGCGAATGTATTGTCTGCTACAATTACTCACCCCCCCTGGAAATTGGAGGAACAAATCCGACAGACGCGCCTTCATGTCGCGAACGACCATTTTGTCGTTCTTAGAGCTGTTGCCTTCAATGAAAGCGGTGTACTCGACAATCAATTGCTCCTGCAACCATCTGTTGTCAAAGACAGAATAACCGTCAGAATTGTCAACCATCCAATTTCAATGGCAATGAGCAGCATCACTTACTGCAACACTTCCAGAGCAAAATCTCCGTGAGAGTGAGTCGGGACACCACTCTTTGGGTCGAAGAAGATGATCCAAGTACGGTCTGTTCTCCGGGTGGCCGAGCGGAGGTCGCACGGAGCTAGGAGAACGAGGAGGCTGATAGCCACTTTCGGCTCGCTGCTCAATCTGCACATTGCAAACGCGTGTTGTTAGTGAACCTTTCTGGGTGGAAGGCGATATGCAAAAACGGTAACACACTTATATGGACCACAGCGGGAATACGAGGGCGTCTTTGGTGAGGAGGCCGTCAGTTGGTTTCTTCGATATCGCTTTCGGATGGATTAGTTTAATCCGTTTCCGTACAAAGGATGCCGAAAAAATAGCAATCTTCTGCCGTTGCGGTATGGGGAGCAGATTCTTGGTTAATGCCCTGCATGAAAAACGATTATAGAAAAACAGAGGTCGGTTTTAGTTGACGGGCGGTCGATGCGTAGGGCTGAGGTGCCAACAATACGATGTACACAAGGCAGACGATGTACTTACAAGATTGCGAAGTTAAGAAGATCCTCTGACCATTCTTTCTGCGAACCGCTTAAAGTGTCGTAGTCTTCATTGGTTATGCTAACCTTTAAGCCGCAACCCCTAAGCACAGGTTTGTCGGCCATGGCTTGCGCGACCTAGTTCCACTACTCAACGAGCAGTCGCAGGCCTAGAGTTAATAAGTCGCTATCTAAACTCTTGACGCAGTCTCCGCCTAAGGTTGCTGAAGCACCAGAAACTACCCGGTGAAGCTAGTAGAAGACCTCTCAGGAGATCTCTGCGTTCTGGGCGTAGGAAGCAAGATTGGATGCAAAAACTGGGAGAATGAGGTTGGTCGATGGACGCTGCAGCTAAAATGGAATGAATCATAGGATTCCGAGCAGAGTTGATGCTCGTGTTGCAACAACGTTTGGGTCGCATTCACCAGCGCAGAAAGAACCTCTAGTTCAGCGAATGTTTTAGCGGCCGTCATATTAGACGTCGTGGTGTGCCTCCTCTTTCTTGTCTCGCTTTGTTATTTTGGGCTGATGAACCCTTAGCTAAAATATCGTATTAGGATAACAACCTCTCTGTCTAAACGAGAACATGCTGTCTTCCGCGTAGGTAGGTGTTCGGAAGTTGGGGGGAATCTGCTCCACATCTGCGACCGCGAATCACGTGCCTCTGGTGTCGCAGATGTTCAGCCAAGAACTGACACGTGGCGCCGACACACTGAAGCCCTTATCTACGCAGCGGATGATGTTGCTGACTTCTGCACCGCACATCGTTCCTTGCGTTTGGAGATTAACGCCAGACGTTTTGTGAGGGCTGCCCGCAAAAAATATATGTGGCGAATGGGATCCCCAGATGTCTGCAACCTTTTGGAAACTTGCGCGCCAGACAGAATCTGACTCGAAGTGTGTCAGAGAAGATCTCTGAGCCGATAAACACTGCCAGATGCAGAGTCTGTCCTATATGAACTCTACATTTCGTGATGGTCCTCAAGGTTGCGCCAAGACGCGATAAGAGCGAAGTGTAGTGTAAACTATTGTAATTTAATTGTGTAATATAATGAGAGTTTGGAAAACCAAAACACCCAAGATGCCTAGCGCCCATAAACCCAGAACATAGAGCAATGTTGCACGAATGTGAACACTCATTTTGTGGTCACAAGGTACCAGCACAATGCCTTCCACTTTTAACGAAATCAACGAGCGTGTATAATGCGGTAATATTTAATTAAAAAAATGCAATCAAAGACACAACAATTGTATATGGACGTTAATATGGGGGGGGGGTCTATAATTAGTGTTATATGGCACCCTACTGAGTCTCAGGTACTATTTCCAAGGTTTGGTTAGTGAATTGCAGGCGTAAATGCAGAAATTTCTGGCTCTCAAAGGCAAAACAAAGCATGAAAGGCCTATGAAACCTTATTGTATTGTCTTGAAAATAATAGGGGGGTCTAGAATTGGTGTGATGAGACTCCCCTAAGAGTTTCAAAGAGTAATACGATTGTTTGGTTGGAGTTTTGCATCAGAACCAATTGGAGGCAAATCTGCAGAATGTTCAGGCATATCTTGCACAACAAAGCATGAAAGGCCTATCAAACCTCATTGGATTGACTTATAAATAATAGGGGGGTCTAGAATTAGTGTGATGAGACTCCCCTATGAGTTTCAGAGCTTAATTCCAACGTTTGGTTGGTGTTTTGCATGGGAATCCAAATGGAGACAATTCTGCTGAAATTTCAGGCTTATCTTTCACGACAAAGCATGACAGGCCTATCAAACCTCATTGGATTGACTTGAAAATGATAGGCGGATCTAGAATTAGTGTGATAAAACTCCCCTATGAGTTTCAGAGCTTATTTCCAACGTTTGGTTGGTGTTTTGCATGGGAATCCAAATGGAGACAATTCTGCAGAAAGTTCAGGCTTATCATTCACGACAAAGCATAACAGGCCTATCAAACCTCATTGGATTGACTTGAAAATGATAGGGGGCTAGAATTAGTGTGATGAGACTCCCCTATGAGTTTCAGAGGTTAATTCCAACGTTTGGTTGGTGTTTTGCATCAGAACCTAAACGCAGGCAATTCTGCAGAATTTTCAGGCAGATATTGCACAACAAAGCATGAAAGGCCTATCAAACCTCATTGGATTGACTTGAAAATGATAGGGGGACCTACCATTAGTGTCATGAGACTCCCCTATGAGTTTCAGATCTTAATTCCAACGTTTGGTTGGTGTTTTGCATGGGAATCCAATTGCAGGCAATTCTGCAGAAATGTCAGGCATATGTTGCACAACAAAACATGAAAGGCCTATCAAACCTCAGTGGATTGACTTGAAAATGATAGGGGGATCTATAATTAGTGTGATGAGACTACCCTATGAGTTTCAGAGCTTAATTCCAACGTTTGGTTGGTGTTTTGCATGGGAATCCAATTGGAGGCAAATCTGCAGAATTTTCAGGCATATCTTGCACAACAAAGCATGGAAGGCCTATCAAACCTTATTGGATTGACTTGAAAATGATAGGGGATCTATATTTGGTGTGATGAGACTCCCCTATGAGTTTCAGAGCTTAATTCCAACGTTTGGTTGGTGTTTTGCATCAGAACCTAAACGCAGGCAATTCTGCAGAATTTTCAGGCAGATATTGCACAACAAAGCATGAAAGGCCAATCAAACCTCATTGGATTGACTTGAAAATGATAGGGGGACCTACCATTAGTGTCATGAGACTCCCCTATGAGTTTCAGATCTTAATTCCAACGTTTGGTTGGTGTTTTGCATGGGAATCCAATTGCAGGCAATTCTGAAGAAATGTCAGGCATATGTTGCACAACAAAACATAAAAGGCCTATTAAACCTCATTGGATTGACTTGAAAATGATAGGGGGATCTATAATTAGTGTCATAAGACTACCCTATGAGTTTCAGAGCTTACTTCCAACGTTTGGTTGGTGTTTTGCATGGGAATCCAATTGGAGGCAAATCTGCAGAATTTTCAGGCATATCTTGCACAACAAAGCATGGAAGGCCTATCAAACCTTATTGGATTGACTTGAAAATGATAGGGGATCTATAGTTGGTGTGATGAGACTCCCCTATGAGTTTCAGAGCTTAATTCCAACGTTTGGTTGGTGTTTTGCATCAGAACCTAAACGCAGGCAATTCTGCAGAATTTTCAGGCAGATATTGCACAACAAAGCATGAAAGGCCAATCAAACCTCATTGGATTGACTTGAAAATGATAGGGGGACCTACCATTAGTGTCATGAGACTCCCCTATGAGTTTCAGATCTTATATCTAACGTTTGGTTGGTGGTTTGCATCAGAACCTAAACGCAGGCAAATCTGCAGAATTTTCAGGCATATCTTGCACAACAA